ATCGGAATTAATCCACAATTACAACTTTCCAGAATATTATAGTAAAGTTAATTCCATGTCACGTGGGTGACGTAATCATCCGCGAATTCATCCTAATACAGATCCACAATCAGATTTCCCAGCCCCAATCCTAGAATTAACCAATATAAATGGGTCTTGGGTCTGCAAATGCTTAGCACAAAGCTAGTGAACACTCAACCAATCCAAGAAGCCAAACCGCAGATGCTTAATTTTAATTTTACTGCCACATCCAATAAGATTTGTGCAATAGGCATTGATTGGTGTAAATTGCAGAGTGCACTGGATAATAGCATTCATTTAGACTTATACCAGATATAGGTTCGCGAAATGGCATGGTAGAAATTTGGTTGCAGTGCAAAAAGGTTGAGAACCACTGCTCAAGACATTGTAGTGTGTCAAATGCACAGAAGGGTGGCTGTTTCTGAGATGCTGGAACCACCACGTCCGGCAACAACAATCACACCACATTAAAAAAAAGGTTAGATCAGTACCTCAGATAATCTAATGCTTAGCTGCATGGTATCTGAACCTCTTGATCCTGGCTGCATGCTACATGTATTCAGCTGCAGCCACATGATTCACTGATAAGAGGCACAGGTTGTTTGCATTATATTTGCATTCTGACTGCATCAAGATCAGCCTTTAAATATGCTGGACAAACTCTATACAATTAAACAGTGATGCCAAACATTTGGAAAGCAGACATTCATATGTTCTAAAGTGTCTCAACTATATTTTTGGCACTTGTACAGACTTGTGGTAGTTACAGGTCAGCTAAACTTCTGGAAATGTTCGCAGAGCTATCCAGGTTGGGTCCATGACTTGTGTTCCAAGTTTCCGTTGGTCTTGAAGTTTGTGTCCTGCGTACTCATTAATGTTTGTTCTCCTCATGAAACACCTATGCAAAAAGCAACATGGTTTGTGTAGATTAATGTAAAAAAATGAGCATGAAAACAGATGCAGTAGATGTTTATGGGCAAATGGAAAACATGACCAGTGGTGGTAACTTTTTGGATTTGTAGGACATGAGAGAATGAGTGGAAGTTCATCACTCACAATTTCACAGCCACTGGAGTCAGAGTGAGAGCTGCAAACAGCACCCAGCGTGAAATGCTCCACACTGTCCACACCAAGCCCTGAACATCTGCAGTCCTAAAAAAAACCCCAAAATTAGGGAGACCAGGGACAATCGCTGAATGGGCGTATTTACACTATTCTTCTTGCATAACTTATTAACTTATAACTTATAATGTATGCATTATTATAGCATTAGCTTTAATGCACAGGTTTACCTGGGCTGAAGGGCAGGAGCCTCCGCCAAAATGGGGCCTCAACCAACTTTGTATAATAAATTTCACCCTCCCATGGTGGTAGCCCAGGGCCCTGATCAAGGTAATGTGCCTTGATGTTTAGTAAACTAAATCACCTTTACTTCGAAAGGAAAAACTGTTTTATGTATTATGTAATTTTTCTACATTTTATAAAAATGAAACAATTGTCCCCAGTCTCCCTTATGATGGAGGTAACATTACTGTGCCGTGGTGAAACCACACAGGACCTGGGAATGATCCACATGTCATAAAAATCATGTGTTTTACCACTCTGTGCTGCCATCAACTGTGACATTTCCACTGGTTGGTGACATGGGGGTCACAGTGCTTGGAGGCATAGAGTTCGCTGTGGTGCAGGGGAACTTGGGGGTTGTGATGAGGGATGGTGATGTCATCATCACCCTCTCTGTTTTCAATTCTAAAAAGCGACATGCCACCCGGGATCCTGAGCATGGAGGGACGCCCCACCCCAATGTCCCCAGCTTCAAAGCAGACTATGCTTACATTAATTTGAAAGTGTCACTCACCCGGCATGACGATCAGCTCGATGGGGACCTTGACGTGATTGCTAACACGCTGGATGGCGCACCAGTACCAACCGCTGTCCTGCTCCTGTACCCTCCTCATGGTCACCGTGAACATGTGACTTTGTTTATTGTCCAATACCAGAAGATCCCCGTCCTGGGGGGGTGTTGGTCTGGAGCGCTGCAGAACACTGCAGTAAATCCAGTTATATCCTCTGCACCAGTATTTCACGTTGTCCCGATAAAAGCTATGGTAGGGACAAGCGATCTGCACGGTGCCGCCCACCGAGATTCGGACCTCCTTCGGTCCAGAAATGTGGAAAGCCCCCGAAACTGAATGCACAGCAAGATGCTGATCCAGAAACCAAAGCAGCAGCCAGACACACTCACTTCCAAACATCTGACCTGGAATGCAATGATGAATTAATCTCAGATGAAAATGTTAAGGCTGGACCACTTACCTTTTAGGACGAGAAAGAAGATGAAGGTCAGCATGTCAGCTGTCCCCACTGCCACTGTCACATCTGCCACTGCACGAGTGACAGGACACTAACACCTCTGCTCCATCTGTGAGGTCAGAGACCTCTGCTTCCTGTGAAGGCAGTTTCTCTTAAGCAGAGGTGAAAGCTGTGTGCAATTCATGCTACTGAAGAACCTCCATGAGCGCAGTTACCCAAGCAGACCACAGTTCTAGAAAAAATTAAGACAACACTATATATTTTTTTCAAATCTGCATTTTTAAATCTGGCTTTAATCCTGGTTCTGCTGGCAGAAGGCTACACTGCCAGGCAGGCTGCTTCCAGACTAAAAGTTCCTAAGATAGCAGTACACAAGAACAAGGTGAAGCAGGAGACTCTGGCAATAACCAAAATCCAGCCAGGTAGAGGGCAGAAGCAACTTTCTAATGCCAAAGATGGCCATCAACTTATCCAACGGTGTCTCATAAATCAGAGGATGACCTCAAGTGACCATCAAAAAGAATGGGAAATATTAAATGCAGGTGAGAAGTGCACTGCTAGGACAATTCATAACAGGGGCCTAGAAGCAGGACTGACGACCCACAAAGCAAGGAAGATCATCAATGACAAGCACAGAAGAGTCTGGAGTTTGCAAAAATTATAATTATATTTTACATAGGTGTGAATCCATAAACTGAGAAATGAGTGTAACTGAAAATTTTGCTGTGTTTTTTTCCAGAGCTGTAGTTGCAGTCACTTTGGCTGTTCAGTGCTCACTTTGAGAGACACAGCAGAGATTTAATGTTAATGTGTAATTTCTTTACTTATAAAAATGACCTGGACACAGCTGCATCAAACACTGTGACCCAACTGCTGCTTTGGCATGGGGAAATCCACCCGTCCAGGTGGGTGCGCCCACTCCTCTGTGGCAGCGAATGGAAAAACAGGCCGAGCCTGATGCTGCTTTGTAAAACCTGCCAGGTGTTCCAGGGCCCATTCCTTCACATCTTCAGAGAAAAGAAACCAGATAGAAATAGCTGCTTCTGCCAAAGATCCATTTCCCACTTTACTCTCACAGCTCCACCCAAATCTGGTGGAAAAGAAGGGATCAGCTGGTATCATCCTACCCGTAGGAGATGGGAAGGTACAAAATCTCCCCCCTCTCTCTCTGTCTCAGGGATGTGTGACAGATGTTACCGGAAATGTGGCACACATTAGGCTCCTGGTGAGATAGCGATGGTTGCATAGCCTGTGGCTTTATGGCCCTTTTCTCGTCTGCTGAGGACAGCTTCTGAATGTGATTGTCTTATGAGGGATGTGTCAGACTTTCAGACTATAAGACAGAAGGCCTCGGCATGAGGAGGATGGGTGAGCCCACAGCACGACCGGCGCCACAAGGCGTGTGCTGTTATCTGCAGAGGTTTTAATATGTGCTATGCTCCTTATGAGTGTTCGAACACAGAGGTCATGAATCCCGGCAGAAGATGACAGAGTTTCTTCATGAAATATTCAGCAAGGCACGGGGCCAGCTTATGGAGAGAGTCGCATAGCAGTTCCTGGAGGACGGGGTTCAAGAGACGCACATCTACGAATGAAGGATGATATGAAACACTAAGTAACATTTCGTTTATAAACACCCCCCAATGTGGTACACTGTGGTATTATGGCACCAAGACTCATTTACGGCTGACACTCTAAAAGAATATACAGCAATAAGACAAAGCCTCCTGTGCATTACACACAAATAGGAGAATGAAAAAGAGTGTCGTCAGCATCTCAGCAGAGAAGCGTAAATCCCAGTGATTGCATAAACCTGCAGCTTGCATCTCTGTAAAGCTGAGAGATACAGAGGGGTGTGATTATGTCAGACGGCATAAGTACCACCTTGCTGAGAAAGTCACTGTACTGTTACATGTTTTATTTTTATTTGGCATTTTGAATGTGGTATAATGCACGGTGTCATCTGGTTTGATATTTTGGAAAGAATTCCAATTAATTCCTTCTACATAATGCATTATACATGTAGTTAACCAACATCATGTGTTCATAATCCATAATAATATAATAAAATGTGCTGTTTGCACTTATGTAAAAAATCAACAGCAAAAAACCTCGGTCAATAAAGGAAAAAAAGAAAAGTAATGGAATTTCAATTTCTTAAGCTGTGATCAGGACAAGGGAAACACAACATTTTCATTATACTCCTGAATTGCACACCGAGGTCTCCTCACAAGGACATTGCAGGCAATCTAACGTTCTCATGTAATGCAATAACACAGCACTGTGTTCAGACGCCTCATTGGAAACCAGATATACTCTCCAAGCAAATCAGTATCAATTAATGAGATCGCAAATTTATAATTAAAAAGTATTGATTCTCAGCGCCCATTTTGTTCATTGAAAAATGAACATTCTATGTCCCCCATATAAACTACTTAATTTGTTGTTTGTTACCAATGACAATTCAAATCCTGAATCCCATTCATTCTCACATTTTCTAATGGACATTGAAACAGCTACTAGTTGCTAAAAATTCAGATTTCCCTTGTGCTTCAAGCAATTTTAGGAGGCAATTTAATGACATGTCTCATAACTCTCCAATACAATATTGCCTCTGAACACATAAACCTAAGTATACATGACCCATAATTTGTATCTCCGTCACTGAAGTCAAATTCCAGTGATAACTCGAAAGAGACGACCTTGCTGTCCTCTAAACGGTCAGAGGAGGAATACACATTGATTTTTGGCATTTGGTGTATATCTGGTTTATATGTGCTCATGCAGGGTCAGGTGCCCATGATTACCACAGTTAATTCAGTTTGATGATCCGCCATTGCTTTGTGAGACCCATGGCAGCGTTTCAGTTACATTTTGTCTCCATGTCATGTGACCATGTTTGTTTGCCACTTGTCTACGCCCTCAAGGAGTATAACCATCAGGTATTGACCCCATCGTGTCAGGCGGCTCTGTCCCTTTCACAACCCCCCACCGGGAGGCTCTCGTCTCTACAGTTAACCAGAATACAAGGTGTCTAACCCTCAGAGACTGTGGTGTGATTCTGGGTACAATGGTGGCCACATCATAGAGGGTGTTAAGAAAGGAAGTCGTCAGTTCAGAAACAGGAGAGATCACTGTACAAACACTGATATATTACGAGTAAAAGGACAAACAATGCATAAATAAATGATAGGCCCCTTAGCACCTCTGTCTTAAGTAGATGTGCCTCTTTTCACAGAAAACTAGGCATTTTGATTCTGGCATCTGTGCTGGAAACATGAACATTGAACAGAGCCTTAGAGGAGGAAGGTCAGTGCAGGGTAGCACTCATTCCTGTCAGCAGTCTCCGTAGGCTCGTTTTGGGCCTGTTTGGGCTCTGAACCCACAGCACCGTAGTGTCTGATAGAGATATGCCATGCCTTCAGGCCTGGCTGCCATTCCCAGTTGACACAGATGCCAAAAAACCAAAAGGCTTGATCCCAGACTGCTTTACACTGCTTGTGTAATAGTATCGGTATCAGGGGAGGGAGTTTATATTATTGAAGTTACTTGTGGGTGGTCGGGGGGAGGGGGGTCTCTAGAGTGGTGGGGTTACAAGTCTCCAGGGAAGCCTAATCTATGGAACGCACTTTGAAACTGGGAGCCCGACTGAAATGCATAAATAAATAATTACAAAGTACCGATACGTGCCGAGGGACATCCGCTCTGGTGGAAAACGAACCGATAAATCCTTGAGAGCAAAGGGTTCTTGTCTGCCCCTGGTGGGCTGTCTATGTGTGTGTGTGTGTGTGGGGGGGGGGAATGCCTCATCATAAGAAGGAGAGCCCGGGGCAAGGTGACGAGAGCCAGAGCAGGGTGGCATGTTAAGCAGGATAGAGCAAGAGGGGGTTGCCACAAGGGTGCACTGCCAATGATGAGGTGTAGAGACCGCTCTGCATCACTCTTCCTGCTAACTGTTTCATCCACCTGGGATGCAGAAGCCGCACTACAGTGCCCTCCCTCTTCTGGGGTCCCAGCACTCTTCTGTGTTGTGTCTAAGCAGCTGCTACCCAAGGATGCTGCGTACTGCCCTCTTTCTCCACACGGTCACTGATTTTATAGCAGCTTATATAGCAATGATTCTCTCCAAATCTACATCAGAATTCATACTTTCAGCTCTTCTGGGGGTTATCAGTGCATACATAAATGCCGAACTGAGCAACAGAGACAGGTTAGGCTGCTGGGTCTATGATCAGTAGGTCACTGGTTCCAATCCCAGCATTGGTAGAGTGATGTCACCATTGGGCCCTTAAGCAAGGCCTTTTACCCCCAGTTACTTCAGGGAAGGGTTAACCCTGCTTTCTCATAAATGTATGTTGCTTTTAAAGCACATGTCTCCTAAATGAATGTTAATATCAGTTAATGTAAACATTAATCTTCATGGTTTAGACAAATAAAACAGCATTTCCCAGCATCTAATTATTCAGCAAAGTGTTGGTCTCATTCACCCTGTCAATAAACTGGATATTTATGGCCTGGGATGAGAGGAATTACACCCCCACCCTTTCAAGTGTGTTTTTGCTATCGTGTGAGGCTGGACACTGCATTACGATTAGACTGCTGACTTCAACGGGTACCGTAATGGGGGGTTACAGCAAGGACTGCACGTTCTCACACACTCACTGCCTGAGCAGTATAACCTTTCCCACTGTAGTTTAACATCGGATGTTGTTGAGAAAAATCAATCCCATAATCCAATTTCTCCTTGAAGTCAGATGCTTATACACATTTTGTTTTATTGCCATTTTCAAACGGCTCTATGTGATACTGCACACCCTGTAAATTACCGCTAGTGCTAAGAATAGGTTTTCATTTCACATATTCACAGTTATTTTCCAGTAAGAATTGCCAGAAATTTCTGGATTTCCTTTGACTGCTCTGCAGGTCCCGCCAAACGCAGCACTGTCATTTGATAATGAATTACCGAATGCTTATTCTGTTTTAGCACTTACCAGATTTCCTGGTAAAGAGGACACGTAATGAAAACCACAAGAACACCTA